CTAAATGAAAGTATGGATTGGTTGCATATACATGTTTCAGTATTTCTAAAGCTCCAGGACTTGGACTGTTAGAGACACTAATGATCTCTCTTGCTCTTGTTGGTTTGTTAGTAGGATTAAGACACTTGGTTCTCTCTGGAACACATCCTCTGGTCCCACCTGGCCGGCTGAATACACCTGAAACCAGTCGATGAGTTTGCATCCTTGTTACACAGTCATGGCTAAATCCCAACCTGCACTCCAACATCTGCGTCCTCCTCCCAAGTGTCCTCGTCTGAAACAGTCGGCCCTGCCTCCTCTGCTTCACTTGAATGTGTGTTTGTGGTGAGCCCTGGTGGCAGCTGCATCTGTCACATCCCACTCCATCCACTTAACACTCTCCCATTTCCATTCATCACCATAAAGAGGACTCTCTCTCAGCGTCACACCCCCACAGCTCAATTGCTGTTTGAAACTAAAAACATTAGTTTCTTATCTGCTTGTTGAATCTCTCAGCTTCAAGTGGTTTCTGTTCCACGTTGTTAGGTTTGTAACTCTCCATCTGCTGTGAGTTCACGCTCCGCTGGTCTCTCGCTCTCAGGAGGCGCCGCTGACAACCCTCAGAACAGACTGACGCTGAGCACGTGGTGAAATCTATCAGCTGCCAGGACCAACTCCAGCTTATCTGAAAATAAAGGATCTCGTCTTTTTAAAAATAGAAATGTTGCATGTTCTGCTGCTGCCATTGGCCAACAAGTCAAGTCAATCAACGCCTATTATCAGACATTTGCATTAAATCAACAATTTAAGTAATGACTCAACTGGAGTACCTTTGAGTTCAAGACAACGTTACGTTTGTTGCATGCTTCCAAATCAATCAAAGTGTATTTATATAGCCCAATATCACAAGTTGTGCTTACTACTACATTTGACCAACGTGGTGTATGGTTGGCACATTTAACATCAAACTCAATGTATCCTCCTCACAGCGCTCATGAAGTATAACTCAAGTCTAATGTTTCCTGTAGTTGACTCACTACTGCCCAATCACACGCATTTTAACCAAGAAACGTAACATTTAAAACACCTACTCGTTCTCTGGGTGCCTGCGTTTCATGCAGAGGTTTTTCAAAAGTAAGTTAATTGCAAAAAAAGTTGTTTAATATACAAATCATCCTGTTGGGGGGTTACGTTTGCCTTTAGTGGGCTTTTAGTCTGTACAGCACAGGTCCCCCTCTCGACGGGGGAACAGACAAAAGCCAGTAAAAGAAAAACAATGTGGATTGAACACAGATATTGAGGGATTTCCGAACCACAGGCTCATCACATAAACACAGTCCTGTTTCCATGGTATCAACCATCAGCGGCCTTTATCATGCGTGCAGTCTTCAGCAGGGAGCCAGCAGCAACATCTGGATGTGTCACGCTTTAAGATGTCACGTGTTGAGTTATTATGATCGGGTTATTGTTTTGTGAAAAAGCTGTTTCCGTTGACACTTTTCTTCATAGCCTCTGGCTTGTCACAAATCTCTCAAACACAAAACAGGAAGCCTTAGGGCGAAGATATTCAACATATTACTCTAAAATAGAAATAATCGTTTTGTACAAGCTTCATTTCTCGTGACTCATTGATTGGCATCGACTGCAGAGATCCAGAAGTGATGGTGAGCGTTTTCACATCTGAAGTTATCTGGCTTTACATAGTCACTGATCAAAAGCCTGTTTCTGTAACCGTTTCATCTTTTATTTGGATGTAAATAAATGGTGGATTTTGAAGTTTGAAGGACATGACTGGTCAGTCGGGGAATGAATCTGAATTTCTAAAATGTTTTCTGTAATGTTTTTGAAGTTGCTGCTCGCCGAGCTCTCGGCCTCCATCAGATGAGTCTTCCTCTTCTCACTGATGTTCTGTTCACAGTCTCACAGCGACTAACAGGAGGAGGTGAGACACCGAGAGACTGTCTGTCACACCGTGAAACTGATGCTTCTCTCTCTGCCGCTTACTGCTCTGTCAGACTGTGAGCAGCACTTCAGATACAGACATTCTGCCACACATGGGAAAGAGTTTAAACCCAGATCCTCTGGAGGTTTCAGTCCTAACAGAAAGTCTGAAGGTCATATTCTGCTGATGTGCAGGTGTATATCAGTATGTAGTGTCTCTACTTTAAAGAGTACTCTCCTGCTGATGTTCAGGTGTATATCAGTATGTAGTGTCTCTACTTTAAAGAGTCCTCTCCTGCTGATGTTCAGGTGTATATCAGTATGTAGTGTCTCTACTTTAAGAGTCCTCTCCTGCTGATGTTCAGGTGTATATCAGTATGTAGTGTCTCTACTGTTAAAAGAGTCCTCTCCTGCTGATGTTCAGGTGTATATCAGATGTAGTGTCTCTACTTTAAAGAGTCCTCTCCTGCTGATGTTCAGGTGTATATCAGTATGTAGTGTCTCTACTTTAAAGAGTCCTCTCCTGCTGATGTTCAGGTGTATATGCAGTATGTAGTGTCTCTACTTTAAAGAGTCCTCTCCTGCTGATGTTCAGGTGTATATCAGTATGTAGTGTCTCTACTTTAAAGAGTCCTCTCCTGCTGATGTTCAGGTGTATATCAGTATGTAGTGTCTCTACTTTAAAGAGTACTCTCCTGCTGATGTTCAGGTGTATATCAGTATGTAGTGTCTCTACTTTAAAGAGTCCTCTCCTGCTGATGTTCAGGTGTATATCAGTATGTAGTGTCTCTACTTTAAAGAGTCCTCTCCTGCTGATGTTCAGGTGTATATCAGTATGTAGTGTCTCTACTTTAAAGAGTCCTCTCCTGCTGATGTTCAGGTGTATATCAGTATGTAGTGTCTCTACTTTAAAGAGTCCTCTCCTGCTGATGTTCAGGTGTATATCAGTATGTAGTGTCTCTACTTTAAAGAGTCCTCTCCTGCTGATGTTCAGGTGTATATCAGTATGTAGTGTCTCTACTTTAAAGAGTCCTCTCCTGCTGATGTTCAGGTGTATATCAGTATGTAGTGTCTCTACTTTAAAAGAGTCCTCTCCTGCTGATGTTCAGGTGTATATCAGTATGTAGTGTCTCTACTTTAAAGAGTCCTCTCCTGCTGATGTTCAGGTGTATATCAGTATGTAGTGTCTCTACTTTAAAGAGTCCTCTCCTGCTGATGTTCAGGTGTATATCATATGTAGTGTCTCTACTTTAAGAGTCCTCTCCTGCTGATGTTCAGGTGTATATCAGTATGTAGTGGTCTACTTTAAAGAGTCCTCTCCTGCTGATGTTCAGGTGTATATCAGCTATGTAGTGTCCTCTACTTTAAAGAGTCCTCTCCTGCTGATGTTCAGGTGTATATCAGTATGTAGTGTCCTCTACTTTAAAGAGTCCTCTCCTGCTGATGTTCAGGTGTATATCAGTATGTAGTGTCTCTACTTTAAAGAGTCCTCTCCTGCTGATGGTTCAGGTGTATATCAGTATGTAGTGTCTCTACTTTAAAGAGTCCTCTCCTGCTGATGTTCAGGTGTATATCAGTATGTATTGTCTCTACTTTAAAGAGTCCTCTCCTGCTGATGTTCAGGTGTACAGTATATCAGTATGTAGTGTCTCTACTTTAAAGAGTCCTCTCCTGCTGATGTTCAGGTGTACAGTATATCAGTATGTAGTGTCTCTACTTTAAAGGAGTCCTCTCCTGCTGATGTTCAGGTTGTATAATCAGTATGTAGTGTCTCTACTTTAAGAGTCCTCTCCTGCTGATGTTCAGGTGTATATCAGTATGTAGTGTCTCTACTTTAAAGGTCCCTCTCCTGCTGATGTTCAGGTGTACAGTATATCAGTATGTAGTGTCTCTACTTTAAAGAGTCCTCTCCTGCTGATGTTCAGGTGTATATCAGTATTATTGTCTCTACTTTAAGAGTCCTCTCCTGCTGATGTTCAGGGTGTATATCGTATGTAGTGTCTCTACTTTAAAAGAGTCCTCTCCTGCTGATGTTCAGGTGTATCTCAGTATGTAGTGTCTCTACTTTAAAGAGTCCTCTCCTGCTGATGTTCAGGTGTATATCAGTATGTAGTGTCTCTACTTTAAAGAGTCCTCTCCTGCTGATGTTCAGGTGTACAGTATATCAGTATGTAGTGTCTCTACTTTAAAGAGTCCTCTCCTGCTGATGTTCAGGTGTATATCAGTATGTATTGTCTCTACTTTAAAGAGTCCTCTCCTGCTGATGTTCAGGTGTATATCAGTATGTAGTGTCTCTACTTTAAAGAGTCCTCTCCTGCTGATGTTCAGGTGTATCTCAGTATGTAGTGTCTCTACTTTAAAGAGTCCTCTCCTGCTGATGTTCAGGTGTATATCAGTATGTAGTGTCTCTACTTTAAAGAGTCCTCTCCTGCTGATGTTCAGGTGTATATCAGTATGTAGTGTCTCTACTTTAAAGAGTCCTCTCCTGCTGATGTTCAGGTGTATATCAGTGTGTAGTGTCTCTGCCTATGCTGCAGCACCTCTTTTCACCCTCTGTCTGAAACCAGAGCCCAGTTTGCTCTGATTGGTTAGCTGGCCGGCTCTCTTGTGATTGGTCAACCGCTTAGAGATGTCCCGCCCCTTAGCCTCTGACATACGATGTGTTGGAGCGCTAGCCAATAAACATACATACGAATGTGAACGATAAGAGTGTGCAATAAAGAAATATAATAAAGACATTTTTATAAAAATATGTAGTTAAAGATAAAAAAGTCATACAAAAAAGTTGTTTTAAATATAAGAAGTTAAATCCCTTATATTTCCCCATTCACAATATTTTTACGGAAAGTCAAGAAAATAGTATTTAGTATAGATATAGATGTACATTTAAGGGACATTAAAGTAATCAACGTAAATAAATCTCAATATAGGTCGTTATATAGAAATGGGTCAAAATAGTGAAATGCCGGAAGCCGTTGCGTATTACGAGCTGGTTTCACCTTCTCTCCGCGTCATCGGGATGTAGATCAAGTTAAATAAATAGACTCGTGCTCATTGTTGATCCCCTCTGTCCTCTGCAGGGCTTCCTGAAGAGCGAGCGAGTTTCCCGGATGGTTCAGAGCGGCGGCTGCTCGGCCAACGACTTCCGCGAGGTCTTCAAGAAGAACATCGAGCGGCGCGTCCGCAGCCTGCCGGAGATCGACGGCCTGAGCAAAGAGACGGTGCTGAGCTCCTGGATCACCAAGTACGACGCCATCTATCGCGGAGAGGAGGACGTGCGCCGGCAGCCGCAGCGAGCACACCTGAGCGCCGTGTCCGAGCTCATCCTCAGCAAGGAGCAGCTGTACGAGATGTTCCAGCAGATCCTCGGGGTCCGCAAGTTCGAGCACCAGCTGCTGTACAACGCCTGCCAGGTGAGACACACTTTATACACTGTATATTAAAGGTCACCTATTAGGCAAAGTCCTCTTCTTCATGTCTCTTCTTCATCAACATGTGTCCCCTCTTCTTCATGTCTCTTCTACATCAACATGTGTCCCCTCTTCTTCATGTCTCTTCTACATCAACATGTGTCCCCTCTACTTCATGTCTCTTCTACATCAACATGTGTCCCCTCTTCTTCGATGTCTCTTCTACAATCAACATGTGTCCCTCTCCTTCATGTCTCTTCTACATCAACATGTGTCCCCTCTTCTCCGTGTCTCTTCTACATCAACATGTGTCTCCTCTTCTTCGTGTCTCTTCTACATCAACATGTGTCCCCTCTTCTTCATGTCCTCTTCTACATCAACATGTGTCCCTCTTCTTCGGTCCTCTTCTACATCAACCATGTGTCCCCTCTTCTTCATGTCTCTTCTACATCAACATGTGTCCCCTCTTCTTCTCATGTCTCTTCCTATCATCACATGTGTCCCCTCTTCTTCATGTCTCTTCTACATCAACATGTGTCCCCTCTTCTTCATGTCTCTTCTACATCAACATGTGTCCCCTCTTCTTCATGTCTCTTCTACATCAACATGTGTCCCCTCTTCTTCATGTCTCTTCTACATCAACATGTGTCCCCTCTTCTTCATGTCTCTTCTACATCAACATGTGTCCCCTCTCTTCATGTCTCTTCTTCATCAACATGTGTCCCCTCTTCTTATGTCTCTTCTACATCAACATGTGTCCCCTCTTCTTCATGTCTCTTCTACATCAACATGTGTCCCCTCTTCTTCATGTCTCTTCTACATCAACATGTGTCCCCTCTTCTTCATGTCTCTTCTACATCAACATGTGTCCCCTCTTCTTCATCAACATGTGTCCCTCTTCTTCATGTCTCTTCTACATCAACATGTGTCCCCTCTTCTTCATGTCTCTTCTACATCAACATGTGTCCCCTCTTCTTCATGTCTCTTCTAATCAACATGTGTCCCCTCTTCTTCGTGTCTTCTTCTACATCAACATGTGTCCCTCTTCTTCATGTCTCTTCTTCATCAACATGTGGTCCCCCTTCTTCTCCGTGTCTCTTCTACATCACAATGTGTCCCCTCTTCTTCATGTCTCTTCTTCATCAACATGTTCCCCTCTTCTTCATGTCTCTTCTACATCAACATGTGGTCCCCTCTTCTTCATGTCTCTTCTACATCAAACATGTGTCCCCTCTTCTTCATGTCTCTTCTACATCAACATGTGTCCCCTCTTCTTCATGTCTCTTCTACATCAACATGTGTCCCCTCTTTCTTCATGTCTCTTCTACATCAACATGTGTCCCCTCTTCTTCATGTCTCTTCTACATCAACATGTGTCCCCTCTGTGTAAAGAGACTCTGAAAGTTTCAGGAAAAAAGATTCTCTCTCTTTTTGATCCATTTCTATAAAAACCTGTCTGAAAATGAGCTGATCAGATTTTGGCCACTTTATGATGTCATAACGATTTTTTGGCCATTAGCCAATCACCAACCAAGGTAACCCCCCCCCCCCCTTATCACCTGAATCTCCTCCTAGAGCTCCTTTGAGTTCTTTGTAACCAGATGTCTCTCAGAGGGGCGTCGGGAGGGGCTCCTTATTTTCATCTAAAGTAACAGACAGAGAATCAGCACTTTGGAAACAGGGCTGAAACAGAGGGGATTATGGGTAATGCTGCAATGATCTGTTCGGTGTTTCAGCCAATCAGAGGCAGGCTCTGGATGTATCTGAGAGCTGTGATATATTGATGAAGAACAGTATAATAGGGGACCTTTAAGAGAGAGGTGCAGGAATGAGTCAAAAACCTCAATGGTTGTTTGAACGTGTTTTTGGTTCGATGCTTGAATTAAGGGCTGTAGTTACCACAAGCTTACAAAATATGTTCATGTTCAAGGCTTTATTGTCATTTGTACATTATCTACAGTGTAGATATGTCAATGGAAAACTCAGGTCACAGGCTCCTCCAACAGTGCAACACATATACAGGACATGACGAAATGTAAACACTGAAATAATACGGAAAAAGGCAGAGTTGGAGAGGAGCCGAAGACACGGCAGCCATCTTTTTTTGGGTTCCTACCACTGTAATAAAAACATTGATTTAGCCGACTCGTGACTTGACAGTGAGTAAAGCTCTCACTGAGCGTCTCCACACGATGTTATGAACCCAGCGGGGTTTGACTTCTTCATGTATCTGTGACTTCCACACGATGGCAGTAGAAGGGCTGATTTGCCACGGATAATGATTATATTATAGTTAGCACTTCCTTTCCCCTCATCTGGAAGTCAGTGGTTGTTTGAATGTGTTTTTGGTTAGATGCTTGAATTGACTTTACCACAAGCACATGTTAATTTTGGGTTCATACCATTGTAAAGATTGATTTAGCTGACTCGTCGTGACTTCTTCGCGTATCTGTGACTTCCACACGATGTACAAGGCAGCAGAAGGGCTGGTTTGCCATGGATAGGGAAACGTTGTTGTCAGACCTGCATGGGACTATGGGATGAAGAAGAGGCGTTTGGGGGTCTCGTTCCTCATTGTGACCGAATCAACCCACAGCTCTCTGCTTGGATGGACCCCACTGGAGGGGGGAGAGGAAATCTGTGCCTCTCTGTGTTCATTTGGGTGAGCAGACTTTCTCTGAATCCCACCCTGCAGAGGAGGAGGAAGTGCGTCAGTAATCCTCAGCAATCCTGGGCTGTTTGTTCCCTTCACTCTGAACATAAATAGCTCCCATTTACAGATTGCTTCACGGCCCATTGAGACATCATCCTCTCCTGTATAACAACCACACTGAGTCTGTTGCTAGGACCCTTTCTATATCGGTCCTCCTTCATTAGGTGCCAGAATAGAAACGGGGAGACAAAGAAGCTTGTTTTGAACTCTCACCTGTGTTTCCTGGGTTCCCTCTAATCTCTGTGCCTCAGAAAACATGTTCACAACAACTTCAAATCTCTTTCATAACAAACAGAGAGAGACGTCAATGGTAACTTTTAAATGTTTCCACTTAGACCCTTTTTCCCCGTGTTTGTGTGTTGAAGTGACAACAATTTGTTTTAAATGGTCCTGCAATCTAGCAAGAAACGCAATCACTTTGCGATCTATCATCAAGGATCATGTGAATTCACACTTAGCTAGTGAAGGGCTGCTCAATTCACCCTATTTTAATCCAATTACGATTTTGGCTTGCAACGATTATGAAAACAACATCATCGAAATAAAACGATTGTTATTATTTAATTGGTTTTTCAGTTGAATTACACTTAAAGTTCAGGGTAATGAACTGTTCGAAACATAATGTTCAAAACAATTGTTTTCAATAAATGGATGTTTTCCAAGTAAATGGTAGGGATGCACCGAATATTCGGCCACCGAAAATTATCGGCCGAAATGGTTAAAAAGGCCCTTTCGGCCGAAAGGGTTTTAGCACCGAAAAAATATCACCGAATGTCAGAACAGGCTTACGTTGGTAACCTAACGTGTTGTTGTGATGACGTAATAAAGACGCGGCGACCATGCTCGCGGCTGGCTCACAGGGGGGGGGGGACATTGACCTTTGTCATCGAGATTGCCCTGAGCCTTTAACAAATCGTATTAAATAATCTGATGACAGACTGTAAACAGAATAGCTGAAACTTTAACAAACTAAATAACTCAGTTTCCTCTAATCATTAACCCATGTTTGTATCATGTAGTTAACTCCGTGTGTTGCTGCTAGCATACATAACACCTGACGTGGAAACGTTACTCGTGGATGGGGCTACAGAGCTGCTAGAAAGACGGTCGAACCCGGTACATTCCTCCGTCTGCATGCGGTGCACTTTTGCTAAATGTTTAGACAAATTGCTCGTGCTTACATGCTAAACTCTTATTGCACTTATGGTAACAAGTATTCTCCACATCGAGACGGGTAAAGTTGAACCACACCTCGGAGCGCGTTCTCTCCGCCATCTCCGCAGTGTGCTCCGCTGCATGTAGCAGCTGCGTGTGTGTAAACGGCCCCGCCCCTCGCACACAGACGGGAGAGAGATCTCGTCTGATCGAAAATACATCATAGACGCATTTGTTGTCTTTGCATATTAGAAACGAGTTGGCGACACTAAGACTGCGATATCATGTTTTTTTAGCAATAATACATGACATATATAAATGTACTGTATGCATTCAAAAGTGCTGAATAAATGTTTTATGGACCCATAATAGTGATTATTATTTAAGTTAAGTGTTGCCATAATCATGTCTATTTCCATAATCAGGTAGCTGAACAACATTGGTAAAAAATGTATACATTATATATATATATTTCTATTAATAATTTTCGGCCTTTCGGCATTCGGTTTTCGGCCAACTGTTTCCTATTTTCGGTATCGGTTTCGGCCAAGAATTTCCCATTCGGTGCACCCCTAGTAAATGGATAATCGTTTTTATCGTGATATCAATTATTGACCCAGATAATCGAGTGAAGGTGGTGCAAACATCAAACAACAGAAACGTGAGCAGCTAGCTGGTGAAGAAAGACAAACATGTATCAGCTTAAGAGATGTTTTTCTCAGGAGTTGGTGGAGACCAAACAGGAAGTAAGAAAGAAAGTTTAAAAAAGTCTGATGTTTTAAAGTTGGAGAGATTTTTCGATAGCGGCAACGAGACGACACTTTCTTTAATATAAGAAAGAAAAAAGGTAGCAATCAGTATAGAACATGTGTTCTTCTATTGGCTGGCGCTCTAACACATCGTATGTGATAGGAAAAGGGGCGGGACATCTCTAAGCGGTTGACCAATCACAACAGAGCCGGCCAGCTAACCAATCAGAGCAGACTGGGCTCTGGTTTCAGACAGAGGGTGAAAAGAGGTGCTGCAGCACAGGCAGTATGAGAAACATCTAAAGCATGGAGACATGTTCTTGCTATGGCAAAGATATTTTAAATTCTACTGCCGTTAATCGTGCTCCACTCTAACGTGAGCAGCAGAGGTTTAACGTTAGCCTGTTAGCTCGTAA